AGGCTTTAGCAAAACAAACAAAGTGGTGCTAGGGACTTGCGGCTCCATGGGATAATACTTGAGCCCTAACAAAAATCACCTCACTCGCACTGGCTGAATGCTGCAGACTGGGGTGACAAATATGCAGAGGAACAATTAAGGATGATATTATTCAATGTGATTTTATTATGTAGCACCCCTCAGGTTTAGCTAGGGGGAGATAGTTTTTTAGGCAGAGGTAGCAGCCTGGGATGAGTCAGCCAGCTTACTTAGTCAGGACTGAGGGCTCTGCAGGTCAGTTCCCTAATACCTCCCCCTGCTCTGAAAGCTTGAGAAGTTTCTACAAGGCAGTGGGCAGGGGCGAGGAAGGGCTGTATCTGCATGCTCAAGGGACTCTGACCAATCCCCAAACAGGAAGCTTGGCATGGGGTCAGGGTAGCCCCTAAGTATGAGAGAGCCTGATCAGCAGGGGCCAGTGTGTGTTGGGTGGAAGATGGAGTGAAGGCTGGCATGTGGGGCCTAGGAGGGGGCCCAAGGAAGGGGCCTACCTACAGGCAGGAGCTGTAAAGGAGAGTATCTATGCCTCATCATCCCCAGAGACAGGACAGCCTATGGAGCAGGGAAGCAGCCAGCCCAGCGTAAGGCCTGAAGGCAGCCACCAAACTACCAAGCTCATAGGAGAGACAGAATGAGTACTCTTGCAACCCCTGGGCTGGATAAGGGGAGAGGGCAGTCAGGTGCAAGACCCAACTAGCTTCTCATCTGGGTCTGCTTTACTAAGTGGCAATTTCTGGGTCCCCTTGCCCATGGATACCCTCAGGCTTCTGGGTGAAGAGGAGGATTCATTGTAGGTCTGAGGTGGTTCAAAGGAGAGACTTACTTTTTGTCCACGGACTTGTACATAGTTGCTAAGGAGCTCGTCCTTGCAGTTCACAGTTCCCTTGGGCATCCCATGCATCCCTCAACCTCATCCAAGTTCAATACCACTTAAGAAAACAGCAAAACCAAGCTCAAGGACTGTTTACTGACTCCAGTGTGCGAGTGTGGAAGAAAATGTGTGTTGCCTGGCTATGCTGAGCTGTAGGGGACCCAAAACTCGGCAACTCCTATGGAGATAGTGCTACATTATATTAGGTTGTATTATATCACACCACTGCCCCACTCGAGTTTACTAAACATGCATAGTAAAACTTTCAGAATGAACAACAGGAGACAATTATGTCACTGGCTCTGAATGGAGCCATGGAGGTTTATATCAGCAGGGTTACTGCAGAACAATTGCTGCATTATGACTGCTTTACATAAATCTTATAAAAAGGTATTTACATCCATCAAAATACAGGAAAACATTAGGCTAATTTGAAAGTGGTTCTAAAGGCTCAAGGTTTTTTACCTTCTTGTATTTTATGCATGAAGGTAAAAAACCCTCTTGATCCAGCGATGCACTGGAGTCTCGGCTATCCCAGGACTCCCACTTCTCATTGGCTGAGAAAGAAGTGGGAGCCATTGGCTTCCACTGCTGTCAATTGCAGCCAGTTAGCCAATGAGAAGAGAGAGGGGCGGGGCTGAGCCACGGCTCCATGTGTGAATGGACACACGAAGCAGCAGGTGCTGTTTGCTGTGGGGGCACCCGACAGGAGGGAACATCGGCCGTTTGTGTGTTCACCGAACACAAGAACAGTAAGGGAGTTTGGCTGGCTGTTTGCCCACCCAGCGCCCCACAATGCATTGCGCTCTCACAGTGCATTGTGAGAACCATGATTCTCCAAAGCAATGCACATGACTACAGGTCAGGTTCAATGGCCAAGCATAGCACAGCACTGTGAGAGCCATAAATGGCCAAAGTTATGGTGATTATGGGGGCCCACGCTGTGTTTTTTTGTCAGTCCTGCTGCAGCAGGTTCTATATATTGTACAGATTTACTTTAAAAAATTAAAAATAACTGCCCATTTAACCACTTGCTCTCCAGAGGATTTGACCAGGCCATTTTTTGTGATATGGCGCTGTGTTACTTTAACTGGCAATCTGACAATTGCGCGGTCATGCAATACTGTATATAAATGTATATAAATTAAATTTATATCCTTTTTTACCCACAAATAATAGCGTTCTTTCGGTGGTATTTGATCACCTGTGCATTTTTGGGTTTATTTTGCGCTATAAACAAAAAAAGACCAACAATTTTGAAAAAAAAACCCAATATTTTTGACTTTTTGCTATAAGACTATCCAGTAAATAAAAATGTAAAAATAAAATTTCTTCAGAAATTTAGGCCAAAACGTATTCTGCTACATGTCTTTGCTAAAAAAAAAAAACTTCAATACTGGGTGGGAACTGACTAACTGCCACTGCCATCCCCAGTGACACCAATACAGCAATCAGTGCTCATAAAAAGCACTGACACTGTACTAATGACACTGGGCAGGAGGGGGTTAACATCTGACCATCTGGGGCGATCAAAGGGTTAACTGTGTGCTGTGTTGTTTTTTTACATAGTGTGCTGTGTGTGTTTTACTATGTAGACAAGCTGCTTTGTTTTGCTCTGCAGTGCAGAGCAACACAAAGCATCATGTTCGTGCTAGCAGGGGAGAGATCTGCTTTGTTTACACACAGACCTCTCCCCTCTTAGTTCCACCGATGATCAATGAGACCCGGCTGAGAAATGGCAGCCGGGACCCAGTGATTGACATACCAAGGAGCCAATAGCGGCGCGGTTAGGGAGCATGCGTGCGCCCCCTACCCAGAAATACAAAATCGCTTATATATACACGTGATTTTGCACATCCATGCCACCCTGTAGCAGTACTTCTGCTATAGGGTGGCCAGGAAATGGTTAAAAATTGTCCTTTTTTTAAAAAAACTTTTTCATGGATTCATGTCCCTCAGGGCAGTATCCGAGTCCCCATACCCCTTTTATGGCCAATAACTTGCATATAAGCCTTCAAAATGGGCACATTTGAATTTACAAGTTCAAGTCCCATAGACTTGCATTGAGTTTGACGTTTGCGGTCGAAAGTTCATTTGGTTTGCACGTTCGACTGCGAACCAAACACGGGAGTGTTCAGGCCATCACTACTCATTCACTACTGCTAATTAACCTTAATATCTGTGAGATAGACAGTAGTATTAATAATGCTCCCTACAAGTCCTAAGAAGTAAAATAATAATATACATATAATATAATAAAAAAGGTTTTTTGTAACTGCTCAATATCTTAATATTTACCCAGCTTAGAGAACTTGTATCACTTTTTAAATATTATTAATTGCATAATTCAGAGAAACTAAAGGGCTCTTTGGGCCCTTTAGAATTTTTTTGATTAAGCTAGATTTATTTTTGTTTGTTCCTTATTTTGGAGGAAAGCAACACAAGGATACTTTGGTTGGTTTATTTTAATGAATTCTTAGTAGTTGAGGCAGAAGGCGAATGTTTGTCTGAGTGTATGAGTGGATGAATCTTGTTGGTTTATTTAACTTCTTTTTGCTTTTATAGGGAGTCTAACTGGCAAAGTCTATAGGCAAAAAAGGTCTTTTGGTGCTTTTTCCGAGGACTGTATTTTCTTGTAATCTGTTCTTGGTTACATGTTATTTTGGACATTATGATGTTTGTTTAACTTAGATATTACAACTATAATAATATATCTGATATATTTTGCAAATATGAACATTTGCTATTAAATATATTAACAATATATATAATAAAAGCAACAACATTTTTAAAAAAATAATATACTTATTAGATACTAAAATCCAATTATAGCATGGAAGGTAATATGTCCAAAATGTTCTGCAAACCCTGTGAAACCCAGTGGAACCCTGTGGAGTCACAGGCAGAAATAGAAACCCAGGAAAACAAAAAATGGTTGAAGTTTAACAAAAAGTAGGGTTGTCTTAAATGTTGAGTTCCCTGATAGTGGTAACCTCTCTGTATATCATGTAGATATTTACAGTGTGATGTCAAATACCTTGGCATTGCTTTTGTCAATACCAATGATAATTTACAGTAAAATGTAATGATTATAATGATACTAAAAAGCTTGCATTATAATTGTTCCCAAATGTAATTTCAGTGAGAAGAGGAATATATGGAATAACCTCTAGATGTGTAATTTTTTTAAATACAAATAATTAAAACAAAGAACAGAACTCATACAAATGTTCACAGGACATCCCAATTAAAAATTACAATGGCTTTTCTAAATACTAGGTAGCATGATGATTTTGGCAGGATGTAACCATACAGTAAACAAAAGTCACTGAGAACTCCAGGCTTCCACAAAAGTAGAGGGTAAAAACCGGCTGTAAAATGAGTAGTGGTATACTGTCTCCCAAGGGGGGCATAGGCAGGAGCAACATCTCTAAAGGAGATAGGAAATTATGCACAAAACATAAGAGCAAGGATTCAAGGATGACCCTCCTGGATCCGTAATAGTGTGCTATAGCTGCTGTCCATAATCGCATAAAATATATGACAGACTGCTTGTGCCCAAGTTGTACAACAATCAACTTAGGTGCAACCAGCCTGCCCATAGATGGTTTGAATCTCAGCCGGTTCCTGCTGAACCTGTCGAGATTCAAACCATCTTGGCCAGCTTTAATTATCAGAAGGCACTGTCATCTTGCTCATTTAATTCAGGCTGATTTATGACTCAGGATTGACAGAGATTAAGTGACTGCATAGCAGAAGCTGTTTCTAAATGAAACTACTACAAAATCATCTGAAAAAAAGCAAGCAGGGAGGAGGAGTAAGGAAAACAGACACTGCCCCAGCAATCAAGTTTTGGGAGTGAACTGCAACTTAGCAGCAGCTATTTAGCCTCTACTTTTTCAAGAGAGGAACTAATGAAAGTTGGGACAATATGTGAAAAAGAAAATAGAGCTTTACTTTCTGAATATAATATATTTTTTTTTTCAAAATTACCTGTGTGTGGGGAGGGGCTGGGAAAAGTAACAAGCTGTATTTGTTGAGTCAGGAAAGGAGAAAGGCATGGAGCTTTTGGAGCTTTTTGTGAACAGACCCCTTAATCAAAGCCCTTTTTTTGGAAGAGAAGTATGGTGTTCTTCAGTGCTCCTATGATTTGTTGGTTCCTAAAGCTGTATATGATGGGATTGAGCATGGGAATCATGATGGCATATATCATGGAAATTATGGAGTCTATCTTCTGGGAAGATGTCTTATGAGGTAGAACATACATAAAGGAGAGTGCTCCAAAGTACAGGGCCACCACTGTCATGTGAGAAGCACAGGTCGATAAGGTTTTCTGCCTGCTTATCTTTGAGGGGATCCTAAAAATGGCCACCAGGATAAAAACGTAGGATGTGAGAATGAAGATCAGACAGCCAACTCCAAATAAAGTTCCCCCAATTGAGTTAAGAACATCGATGATATATGTATTGGAACATGCAAGATGTATTATGGGCTGGGTTTCACACCATAGGCTCTCTATGGAGTTAGGTCCACAAAAATAAAGATCAGAAGCAGCAGTGGTATTAAAGGCTGAGTTTAAAGTCCCACTCAACCAAGCAAGAATTGCCAGATAAAGACACACTGTCCTACTGACAATGGCCCTGTAACGTAGTGGATGACAGATTGCCACATAGCGGTCATAAGCCATAACAGCCAATAAGATACATTCTGTACTGGCACAAACAGTGAACAGTCCAAGCTGGACAAAACAACCAGTGAAAGAGATGGTGTTCCTGTTATTGATAATAGCAGACAATATATTAGGTATTGTAATTGAGGTATAGCAGATGTCTAGAAAGGACAAATTTGATAGGAAGAAATACATAGGTGTGTGCAGCTGAATGCTCAATCTAATGGATGAAATAATTAAACTGTTTCCCAAGATGGTCAAAATAAACATCATCAAAAACACAGTAAACATGACTGCTCTACAGTTGGAGAAAGAAGCAATACTCAGAAGTATAACTTCTGTTATTGCTGTCAAGTTGGTTATTGTCAAGGAGTTATCACTCTCTTCCATTTTATAGGTCAATATGGTATACACAGTTCTAAAATAGGTGACAACACCAAGAGACTCATTTCAAGAGCTTTCAATTCATCAACAAATATTATATTTTTCATGAAAGATTGTATCCTGAAAAAAATATCAATATGATTAGCATATACAAAATATTTTAGATTTACTAAGTAGTGCATGGTCACTTTGCATGTGAATTTTCATGTACCTTAGTGAATGTGGTGAAAATTCAGTTTGCAATGAATACCATATCATGTGCAAAGAAAATAAAAATAAAACAGAATTTTTGCTTTCATGTGATTGGATGAAAGAAGTCACCTCATTCACTAAGCTGAGAGAAAATTCCCTTGCAAAGTGAAAATTCGGTATGTATTTTGTAGCCAATTGTCATTATTTTACAAAACCAAATACGTTGTTCGCTCCAGACTTCAGGTCTACTTACTTCAAGGCTACACAAACAATAAAAATGGCTTCTGTGCTGTTCAATTCTTTGGATAAGATTCAATCTGTTGCTTCTTTACAAAAGCAAAACAAAGAACATTAGGGTACTAAATATTTACTGATCAACTAGTTTTTGTTCCCTTCCTACACAGCTCAGGCTGCTATATAAACTATGGTGGAAACTGAGACCTTAATACAGAATATTATAGAAGTTGTGACATACTTTGAATATATAACAGTAAAGATTCTTCTAAAAATGTGTATTTTTTTTATTAAATTATATTTTAAAATTTAAAAAAATATTTTCTCCTTCAGAATATAAAATATAAATATAAAAATAATTAACCACTTCAACTATAACATGTATAACCTCTAAAGACCAGAACAATTTTTTAAATTTCTACTATATGTACTTGTGTACAACCAATCTGTCAGGTTTTTCCTGAACGATCAGCGCCATGAGCTATAGTCGGTAATACTGATCAGTATATTCTGATGTCAGAATACAATACAGCAGCAGGAATTATTCTCCCATCCCCAAAAAATATGTGGATGGGGGAATATGATTTTTTTTTTTTCCACTCAACCATTGGGTTGAACAAAAAAAAAGATCTATGTATGGGCTACCTAAGACCAGTTGGCACAAGAACAGGTTCCCCCTCTGGAAGATTTCTCCTTACTACCTATTTTATTGACAAATGGACAAATACTTTTTGTCCTGGGGACCACTGTCAAATAGAGAAGCTGGAATTCCCCAGTGTGGAGAATAATACAAACAGAGGTTTATCCCTTCATCACTCTACCCAAAATTTGGGTAGATTTTCTTTAAAGTCGTAGTAAACGGTGAAAAAAAAAGCAAACTGTTTCCCCGGCGGGGGTACTAGCACATTATAACAGATTTACCTAAAAAATGGATCCTTCAAGCAGCTCGCTGTCGCCGGTGACAGGAAATCAATCTTCCCCAGGTCTTCCTTTCAGGTTCGCAGGCTCCAGCCATTTGAGTGTCCGAGACAAGAAAACGTAATTCCCATGCATGCATGCAGGATTGCAGCCAGGGCCATCTCTAATATTGATTGGACCCTGGGCAAAAATTTTCTTGCCCCCTCCCCCATGCAATTTCACTCTCCACCTGCTCCGAGACATACAATAAATAGCAGCTAGACTCAAAATCAGTTTATTTAGCAGATCCGGCAGCAAATGCAATTGGTTGCTGGAGGTTTCAGCATATCATTACAGCGCACTGACTATTTGGAAAAGGTTACAGCACTCATTACAGTTCACTGATTAGTTGCTAGAGGTTACTACATAGGATTTCTGCACACTGGTTGTTAGAGGTTACTGCACATCATTACTGGTCACTGATTGGTTGCTAGAGGTTAGTGCACATTATTACTGCTCACTAATTGGTTGCTGTTGGTTACTGTGCATCATTACTACTTACTTATTGATTGCTAGAGGTTACAGCTCATCATTAAAGCTCACTGATTGGTTGCCAGAGGTTACAGCACTTAATTATGTCTCACTGATTGGTTGCTGAAAGTTACAGCACATTGTCTCCTCACTGCCTGCACAGCATGTACTGGGAAGGTGATGGGACCCACTAATAGACATAAAACTCCTAGGGATTCTAGGACTCCTGGAATCAGTGACAGTGCTGGGGGGAGTGTGTGATCAGTGGCAGTGGCAGTGCTGGGAGTTGATGGGATCAGTGGCAGTGGTGGGGGGGTGGTATCAGTGCCAGTGGTGGGGAGATGGGATAAGTGGAAGTGCTGGGGGATGGGATGAGTGACAATGCTCATGGGGGGATGGGATCAGTGGCAGTCCTTGGGGGTATGGGATTAATGGCAGTGCTTGGGGTGTATGGGATCAGTGGCAGTTTTGGATGGGGATAGGAGGTGACAGTTTTTTCACTGTAAAACCACCAATGTAAGAGGAGATTTACATTGACCACCAGTGTAAGGGCAATTCTACACTTACCACCAATACAAAGGGAAATTCACACTGACCACCAATGTAATGGTAAATTTTCACTGATGACCAATGTAATGAAAAATTAAACCTGACAACCAATGTACTGGGGGATTTACACCAGCAACCGGTAAATCTCTACACTGGCCACAAATTTAAGGGGGGCTCCTACATGGACCACCAATGTAAAGGAGGATTCGACACTGACCACAAATAGTCAGTTCCCACCCAGTGTCAGAATGCCCGTCGCAGTCCCGCAGTAAGTGGCTGGTCGCCACCATTACTAGTATAAAAAAATAAACAAATAAAAAAATTCCAATATATATACCGCCATTTGTTGATGCTATAACTTTCATGTAAAGCAATATACACTTATTGGGATTTTTTAAGCAAAGACATGTAGCAGAATACATTTTGGCATAAATTTACAAAGAAGTTTTATTTTTTTTAATTTTTTTATTGGCTATGTTTTATAGCAAAAAGCCAAAAATATTATTTTATTTTTTCAAAACTATAAGTGTTTTTCTTGTTTACAACGCAAAGAATAAAAAACGCAGAGGTGATCGAATGCCACAAAAAGAAAGTTATATTTGTGGGAAAAAATGACATAAATTTAATTTATGTACAGCATTCCATGACCGCCAATTGTCAGTTAAAGTAATGCAGCACCATATTGCAAAAAATTGCCAGGTCAGGAAGGGGGGTAAATCTTCTGGAGGTCAAGTGGTCAAAGAGGGCCCTGACCACAGCACAGCTTTCTCAATGGTATGCCATCCATTGAAAGTGTATCACAACTCACAAACAAAAATGTAAAGTATCTCAGCTTATCACTCATTATATGTGGTGGCTGCAATTTTTTTTTTTTTTGGGGGGGGGATTTTTTTCTTTTACTTTCACCTGGTGATCCTGCAAGTAAAACACAACCTGGGCTCCCAGTCAATGGGTTGAATGACAGGGGGTGTCATTCAACTTGGAGGAGGACCAGCAGGGTAGGACGGAGTGCCTGTAGGAGACATCAAATGGGATAAAGTCAGTATTGCAGCGAAATCTGCATTATTGCTGCCTGAAGGTGTTAGGGATTTGGGATTATTTTATTGGCAAAACCTTGTGTCAGTTTTTGCTTGACTAGATTATTGGTAAGGATAATAAAAACATTCCAGCTTTAGAAGGATAATGAAAAACCCAGCTTTATTAATAAAACTCTTGCAGGTGAAATGCACCTTTTTTCATTTGTTAATGTAATTTGTTCATTATATGTTGTCTACTTGGCAATGTAAATTTTAAAGACACAATCCAAACTATCAATTTACCTGCAAGCAATACTATGTTCCTGTGTATGAAAAAGGTAAAGTAAGGTAAAGGTTTATATGAAGAATGGTATAGGCTATGCAGACTCCCATTGGAGCCCTTTGATCCCTTCTGAATATATCTGTGATAATACCACAATACACAGTATAATTAAAGTAACGCATCCCATTGTTACATATTTAATCCTTTTTCAGAAAGACAATAGGGATTAATAGACACATATCTACATACATAGAAATACTCCTAATTTCAAAGGTTTTGCCTACCCATAAATGGTATTTTAGTTAGGAGAGGAAGCTGGAGGGCAGAGTAATCACCTGACTTCTCATATGTTTTGGATACTCTAACAGTGCATTATCCCTGCCACAACTGACTGCTACATTCTCCATAATATAAAATAAAAAATCCTCCAACAAGCAAAGCGGAAGCCCTTCGTGAAAAAGGTTTTCAGATTTGGGAAGAGGCAGAGATCTCAT